AAATCAGAAAGCATCAGATAAACTGCAAAAGGCAAGAGATCTTGTATTTAGATCTTGACAAGAAGGACCTGCAACTAGAGTTAGCATCTTCCAATTTCTTTTCTATCTTTCTGACTTCCATATCATAACTCAGTTTCACCTTTTCGACCGCTAACTTCTGTTCCAAATCCTGATGCAGGATTTGGAAAAGAAGTTAGCGGTCGAAAAGGTGAAACTGAGTTATGATATGGAAGTCAGAAAGATAGAAAAGAAATTGGAAGATGCTAAAAGGGAAGAGAATACAGTGAAAGCCTTGAATGCTAGAAATGCTTAAGGCCAAAAATCATCAGACCTAGTTCAGAATTTGAGAATCTGTTTTCTGTAATAAAAATACTGAATTTTTTAAAAATGGCTGTGAATCCCAACTTCATGATTTGTCATCTTCTCTCTTCTCCCTTTCTCTTTTTGTGGTTTAGATGAAGGGGAATTTTAAAAATGCAGTCATCTGTAATGACAAAACAGCTTCTCTTTTCTTTGCAGATAGATAGTCTTCCTTTTGAGGATATTCTGGTTTTCTTCTGTCTCAGAGAAGCCTTGTGAGTCCTAAAGCCATAGCCCTCTATTATGTCACTTACTTGCAATACTGGGAAGTTATTTTCCACATGAGAACAGATTTGAACCCGGACAGCTCGTGCTTATTGAGAAAATCATGTATGGGATACTGAGCTTGAAAGCACCATTTTATATCCCTCCCCTCTTTATTGTGCAAATCGATAAAAGGCTTGCCCAAACCAGTTTTTGACATGCTAGGGTTTGCATATGAATAAAATTTATCACCAGATTATTTTTTAAAAAATCCACCTTTTAACCATACTGTTAAAGTACTCTTAGTAGAGAGAGAAAAAATAATATTTCTTATTGGGGAAAAATAATTTTATCACCTGCCATTCTTTCTCTAATCTATTCCTTTCAGTTTGTGGGGCATTTTTTTTTACAATAAAGTCTATTATTTTGTCAATAGCAGGTGCAGTTTTAATCCTAAACCAGTAGGGGGTACTCCTTGCCTAACTCTTTAGTATAGAAATGTAAAAGAGAAAAGGAACTTCTATTGATTGCAATAGTTGTTTTGCTTTTTCTGTGCAGACTTTGGATTTACACAGAACCTTTCAGCAGCTTTTTGTTTCTTAATGGCCTTCTCTTGGATCCATTTTTCTAGATACTTACTACCTAAATCTGGAATTAAAAGGGAGCTGGGGTGATGCTGCTTGTTCACGGAGAATACAATAAAATCCAAAATCCACAAAACAACAGGGATACCTTTATTAGCTAGCCAAAATGCACAAAATACATGTTGCAAGCTTTCGAAACTCCACTGGCTTCTTCATCATGGAAAGATGTTTAAAATCTCACAGTAGGGAGAGGGAAATTAATAATAATAATAATAATAATAATAATATTTGTGTAGTCCTTGCTAAAGAAAATGGTTGCTGTCCTTGAACAAAAATGCTTTAGAGACAGTATTATATGGTTGCAGTTTTGAGATATACATAAGATCATATAATTCTACTCTAATTATAAGTTGAACCTCCTAAAGATACTATGCTTAGGAAATGGTGCTATCTTATCTCTGTCTTTTTAAATTGGAACATGCTAATAGTTACCAGCATGTCCTGATAAGAAGTTATTGTATATTACTTAGATGTTTTATTGCGCTTTCTATTTGTGTTTTTATACTGGCCGAATGGCTGTAATAAAATGATTTGATTTGAAAATTTATTTGTATCCCGCTTATTGCCAGACAATCCAAGCGGCTTACAATAAAACCCGTATAACATAGTATGGATTTTGGGTGTTATTGTACTTTGCTACATGGATATACGTTCATAGAGAGATTCTACTTGGGTTTACTATCTTCCATGAATGCATCAAAGGAAGTAGACCAAGGTCCAAAACACACTGCAGAAATAATCCAGTTTGAGACCACTTTAACTGCCCTGGGCTCAAAACTGTAGTTTAGTGGAACTTTTAGCCTTCCCTGCCTCCGGTGCAGTTCAGTTCAATTTTATTAGTATTTTGTTTAAAATATATACAGTATACGTAATGCAGACAAAGCACATAACAGTGGCAAGTGTGTATCCCTGAGTACTTATGTATTTTTATGTATTTATGTATATATTTATTTATTATATTTATATGTATTTAACCTGTATTATTTATTATTATTTTGCGTCTGTACTTCCATGTTTCTCCTTTCCTCACTTATCCTAACAGAGGGACAGTTCAGTTCAATTTTATTAGTATTTTGTTTAAAATATTTACAGTATACGTAATGCAGACAAATCACATAATAATAATAATACATTTTATTTATTTTTTAATACATAACAGTGGCAAGTGTGTATCCCTGAGTACTTATGTATTTTTATGTATTTATGTATATACTTATTATGTTTATATGTATTTAACCTGTATTATTTATTATTATTTTGCGTCTGTAC